AACAATTGTAATACGGGAGAGTAAAAGGATGGGTGGGTGGGTGTGGTGAGGGGTGGAGTTCATATTCGTCAGGGATGCGGAGGTATGATGTGGATGTATGTATGTGTGTGTGTGTGTGTGTGTGTGTGTGTGTGTGTGTGTGTGTGTGTGTGTGTGTGTGTATGTAGACCAGGGAAGGGGTATGTGAATATTTGCATGCCTGCGTTTGCATTTCATGTGTGAGGGTGTGTGTGGGTGTGTTTGTGTGTGTGTATGTGTGTGTGTGCATGTATGTGTGTGTGTGTTTGTGTGTGTGTGTGTGTGTGTATGTGCGTGTGCGTGCGTGTACGTGTATGTGTAAGAGAGAGAAAGAGAGAGAGAGAGAAAGAGAGAGAAAGAGAGAGAGAGAGAGAGTAAAGAGAAAGAGAGAGTCAGAAAGGGAGAGAGAAAAACATAATAATATTCGCGATCGTGTTGACACACAATGGTGCAGGTAATAAATGTGAAAGTTTTATTGCAATTCTCGACTGATCCCAAGATTTTCTACAATATTTACTCGCTAAGTAAGATCCTTGTTTCCTGCATAAGAAAAGCTGTAGAGTCTATTTACTTTCTGAAAATTGTTTATATTACTTTGTCACGGCCAATGTTAGGAGAATTTTGCAACAAAAGTATACAAGTCCAAAGAGACAATTCTATTTATAAAAGTATGCATATCTCATCGAAATCTCAAGCAAAATTATTTTTGGGGTAGTAACAGTAAGAGATTGCTTTGAATTTCCGGTATCCCAATGTATCACTTTTAAAGTGAGTTTTTTCCCCATTCTAAAAAAAAAATCTCAGTTGTTCCTCGAACAATTCAATTTTGTTTAACTATTTGATGCGTTTGACTATAACTTGCTCGGTAATCTAAAGTTAAAGAACACCGACACGGATTCAAATTGCTGAGTACACAATACACACTCGCAAAAGACAAACGTTCAAATAAGCCGCACACATGGTAAAAACATTAACAAACAATCGGTCCATTAAAAGACTAATTCTCAGATGACACAGTGCCTCTCTCTGCAGACAAACCGGTGACATCGGGCGACCTTCAAGATAAACATCGCGGTTCCCACTGTATCAACGTATTGTTTCCTGTTATAAATCTGTTGGCCGTAAACGTTAGCCCAAGAGAATCGCACCCCATCGGACGTACGGCTCGAGTGTGCAGGAACAACACTTTAAATCCGGCTTTGTCCGCGAGCTACTTTGTTCGGATGCGAACGACAAAGTTTGAGCACGGAGGGATGACGCGCTGTAGCAGATTTCCTGGTCTTATTGCAATTCAATGACAGCAGTTTGTTTGTCGTCCGAAGATTGGACAAATATGCGGCTTTTGTGGGTTCAGGGCCGTGTCCTGCCGTCTCACTTAGTCCCTGACACGAGCACACACTGGCCAGTAGTTTGCCATTTCCTCGGCCCTGCAAAAACAACAGGGCTCTCAAAGCCTAGGGTATTTAGAGCCATTACTCCTGAAAAGACCACTACAAAGGGAGACCAAATCCGAAACACAACAGTCCGGCTGCCAAGGTAAAGGCAGCAGAAATTTGAGAGGCTTTCAAGACGAGGAGACCTTCGGACTCGATGAAGCTGGCAGGAAGGGTTTTTTCCCCCTCCCTTTCTTATTTTAACGTTCTCACGATGTGTCGATTTGGTTTTTGTGTTTATTGTGTTCGTTATTTTTGTGCCTTTACCCTTTTCTTTTCATGTTTTCACGTTGTATTTTTGACTCGTCAGGAAATGCAAAGAGGACCCCGATAAAGAATGGATTAAAAATAAAAGCAAGTACTGGAATTTTCCAGGATTTTTGTTATAATATTATTTTATCTACTATTTCTAACTTCAAAGGAGGAATCACATTTTTTTTTTCATTAAAGAGTTTTAAAAAGCCAAATGTCTATTTACTGTCGTATGGATGAAGATTACAAGACACATGTAAAATTATTCCCAAACTTTACAAGCGCTCAGATTACTAAACAAATTAATTTAAATTAAATATCGTAACTGGTTTTACAATCATTTACTCTCGAGGTTTTTTATCTCGCTTTCTCAAGAAAAAAAAATATAACAAATAAAATAATTTACGAACAAAGAAACAACAACAACAACCATAAAACAGCTTTGTAATCTTCTAGACGTTAGATAATTCGATACCTATAAATCCCCCTCCGCCACCCCATCCCCTTC